CCGGTAGCTGCTGGAGAACTTGGCTTCAGGGCGGGGGTGGGCTGTGTGATATCCCCAGGGAGAAAGGAGGCAGCTGCTCTGCTCAGAGCAGGGTGAGAACAGAGCTGCTGTCAATCGTTTCGAGGGGAAAAAGTTCATAAACATCTTCCATAATGATTTTCCTGGATTATAGAGTGGGTGATTGCCCAGTGGTGCCTGTCTCGGAGAGGGCAGCATGAGATTCGATATAGGGCCAAAAAATCCCCCAAATGGAGTTAGGCAGTGGAGGCTTCTACATGTTCATTGAAGATTAAAGTAAAGATCCTTATATAGGCTGAGATTTTGACATGCGTGGTCCCAGGTTACAGATAGAAGTCGAAGAAAAAAGGAAAAACAGCATTGCATTGGCCGGGAATCGAACCCGGGCCATGTTCATTGAAGATTAAAGTAAAGATCCTTATATAGGCTGAGATTTTGACATGCGTGGTCCCAGGTTACAGATAGAAGTCGAAGAAAAAAGGAAAAACAGCATTGCATTGGCCGGGAATCGAACCCGGGCCTCCCGCGTGGCAGGCGAGAATTCTACCACTGAACCACCAATGCCAGATGTGTGGGGCTCTCTGCACAGCTGCCTGCAGAGCTGGCTCTGCCACAGGGAGAGCAGGGCCTGGAGGGTGATGGGCGACCCGGGGCCTTGGGAGTGATCGCGTGGGCTGGAGTGCGGTTACGGGCCTCTTCGTTAAAGCGTGGCCGGGTAACAAGGGGTTGTGGGGGAGGAGCAGGTCTGGTGTGCGGAAGCTTTGCTGGCTTTTTGGTTAAGCCTTGCACTGGTTAGTAGTGTATTTAAATAAATCATAGAATCATGAAGGTTAGAAAACACCTCTAAGATCATCAAGTCCGACCATCACCTCAACCCCACCACATCCCGAAGTGCCACATCCACACATCTTTTGAACTGCTCCAGGGTCGGGGACTCCCCCACTGCCCTGGGCAGCCTGTGCCGACGCCCGACCACTCTTTCAGTAAAGAAATTTTTCCTGATATCCAATCTAAACCTCCCCTGACACAGCTTGAGGCCATTTTCTCTCATCCTATCGTGATGAAGCAGCGTAACAGCTGAACTGGGTGGCTGCAAGGTGTCTGGTGGGCAGCAGTTCCCCATCGAGGCACCAGCCGAGTGGTTCTCTGTGCCTCGCCGGGGGCGAACGACTCTCATAACCCGGCCCATTGGAGAGGGTGCTCGAAGGCACGGTGACATCTCTGCCAGGATGCAGCCGTGGCGAGGTGGCCCTTCAGAGCCCATCCAGGGCCGGGAGTTCGTGACTGGTGTAGGAGGCTGCAGGCTGGCAGTGAGCCGCTGTTGGACGTGAGCGGGGAGGAGGGGAGAGCTCTGGTTTCACTTCAGCATTCCCTGTTTTGGTACCACTTTCTCTGGTGTTTGTTGTGACTGAAAGTCCCTGTTTCGGGCAGCTGTAGGGAGCTGAGCTCCTGAGCATTCGTGTCGGGCAGACCCTAAAGCCCCCTGTGTGCTTTCCTCTTCTCTCCCCAGAAGTTTGTGGCTCAGAACAACACGTCTCAAATCAAGCATGTGATCCAGATCCTGTTGCAGGAGTTCGTGTTCTCCTAGCACCCCCACAGCTGGAAAGGTGGGCTCATTGGCCTGGCTGCCTGCTCCATTGCCCTGCGCAAGGTACGTAGGTGCCGGGGGGGTTTTTTGGCTCGTGCAGGTTGCGATGGGGGAACGGCAGCTCCTCCTGGGTCAGCGTGATGGGAAGACTCAGGCTGGCGGCCCCGCAGCTCCCCGGCTCCCTCCCTGCATTGCAGCGTACGGCTGGGGTGCGGTTTGGGTTTTCACATCCTTTGGGCACAGGAGCACGTTCTGGCCCGGGTCTCATCTTGGCAGCTCCCTAGGCATGGTTTAAGTCCGTCTGTCCGCCCTCCGTTTCCAGCAGCTGGACTGGATTCAGCAGGTCGAGCACTGGTTTGTGTTAACGGAGCTGCGAAGAGTCTCTGCCCTTTCATCTCCCACCCCCAGCTCAACCGGCTCCAGCAGGGCCTGCGGGAAGTGGTGTTAAGGTATGGGCCAAACGGTGGCGGAGTCATCGTCAAAACAAGCGAGTAGCGATGGAGCTGCAGGTCATTGCTGGGGGATTTGTTGCTCACAGCCCCAGCCCTGCCAGGTTTGCAAAGCTGGCTGCGCCCTGGGACTGTGCTATCAGCGCTTGTCTCCAAGAGGCACCAGCTGTGTTGGTTCTTCAGCCAGTAGGACCAGGTCTACTGTCACTAGCTATTTTATATTTGCTCCTTCCTAGCAAGAAAAGCGCAAGCTCAAAATTGCCCTGAGGGCAGAGACAGCCTCAACAGGCTTCTCGGTGCCTTGGAGTCTCCCTCCTTGGGAAATTATCCGTCTTTTGCGTGTGGCCGTGCAAGGTGGCAAATGGCAAAGAGCAGGTTGTTTAGCCGTGTTCACCCTCTTCTTCCCTCCCTGTGTGCTTCCTCCTCAGCAAACTCTGAAGATGTCCAGTCTCTGTCAGATCAAGGAGGAAAGCATTCGGCTGGGATCGTTCACACCATCTCCTCCCATAGCTTAGTCGTTCCCTCCTCCATTTTTGATGAAAGCCAGTCCAACAAGGTGGACTCTAAATCCGAATGTGGCGAAGAGGAGGAGGAAGGTGTTGAGAAGAGACATGGGACAGGTAATAACCCTAAGCTCTTCACCTATTTTAGGTCCGTTGTGGTAAAGGGCCTCAGTGGAGGTCTTCGGTGTCACCTCCATCACTTCACTGCAGCCTGGTGCCGTCTTCACTTCTGTAGGCCCTGAATCTGCTCTTCTGTATGAAGCCTGTAGGATCCCGAGAAGAGTCTGGGGCAGGGACAAGTGAGAGGCCAGGGGGATTTCCCCAGATTTGCCAGAGGAGCACCTTTGCCCTCAGGAGCTGCTGGGATCGGGATGATGCCGTTCCCTTTCCCAGGCAGGGCAGGACGCTCTCTTTCCTCCATGGCACTGCAAGCGGAGATGGCTTTTGGTGCCCTCCTCAGGGCAGAGCTGTGAACTCTTTGCAAATGCTGTTACGGTGAATTGGGAGCCCAGGCAGATCTCCTGGTGTAATACTCCTAAAGCATCCAGCTGTTGGATAATCGCTTGGCACCCAAATGGAGCCTCTCCCTTGAGACTGGCTAAAATGCCCGGTTCTGCCCATCCCCCCGTTACTCAGCAGGACCTGGGAGCAAACTCCTGAGGACCATGGTGACAGTTCATGGAAGGAGATTTGGCCCAGTCCTTCTAGGTATTGCTGGATGTTCATTCTTTCCTCTTTTTCTGGTTAAGGATTGGACCAGTGCACGGAGATCTTCTGTAGGGACACCGTGCAGGAGTCGTCGAGGTACCCCCAAGTCCAGGGCTTTACGCCACAACTCATTTGTAGAGCAGAATGGATCCACTACAGTAGTTTCTAGATTAAAGAGTAGGAGTTCACAAGGGGATTAGCAAGGTTATAGAAGACAAATTTCTGAGTTTATCAGAGAACCTCCTGGAAAAGCTAAAAATCATAACCAGCACATAGAAGGAGAAATTTCTGGTAAAGCTGAAGGCAGGAAAAGGAGAAAAAAATTTTAATACTCCTGTTTTAATTACAAAATATTTTGGAAACATCAATTACCTGTTCTCCTCGCTAATCTGCTAAATGTCGTAAATTATGTTCTCCTGTCTCACAGATAGGAAGTTGCTACAAACAGCTCGTGTGTCTCGTTGGATTATATGGCACCAGCAAAGAGGTGGGAGTACCGGAGTTCATAATGACTGGTTTTATGAAGGACA